GGCGGGTTGAAATGCTTGGCCCGGCCCGCCAATTTTTGGCGGGCCAACGGGCCGGCCCGCGGGCCATGACCCACTTTGCCATCTCTACTTTTCAGGACGTGAGTGTAGTGGTTTTGATATAGAATTTTATTTCAATAAAGCTGCAATGAGTTTGGTACTTTAGTTAAAAGTTTATTGTAATTTGTTACTTTTACAAGCTCAACCTGAAAGTGCTGAGAATGGCTCTGAATTTTTCTTGGTTTATTCCATATGGCGTGCGTGTTCTTAATTCATTCAGTAAGCTACTAGCGTTTAACGTAAGGTTTTCGAATTTAGTATATTTGTTTTTTGTACATTATGGGAGTGTTAAAATTTTGTATATTCTTAAAATTGTTTCAAATATAATTTTTTTAATGCTTTTGAAATATAATTTCTAAAACAAAAAATCTAACTCGTATACAAAATTATTACTTGTGTTAAAATAATGCTTAATCAACCAAAATTAAGTTGTACGAGTGCAATTTAATTCTTATTTATCAATTTTAGACGATGCTTGAACCATATTTACGAAGAAAAAGAGAAGATATTATTGAAGCTTGTGAAGAGAAAGCATTACCATGTTTGTCTTTATGTTTGATATAAAATGTATTAATGGTTTCTATATAAAATATTTAAAAAATTGTGATATATTAAGAATTTTTTTAACAACGTAAAAATATTGTTTTAGAAGAACGTAAAAGTATATTGTTTATGTATTGAATGGGAAAACTGATATATTTAATAAGAATAATAAGGTCGTTAGTGCATTGTTAAAAAGAGTAACGGATCTACCCCAATAAAAATAGAGTAACGGATCTACTGCCATGAAAAAGAGAGTAACGAATGGTTTAGGAAGAATTTAAAGGATATAATTGTCTAATAAAACTTTACACTAAATATATGGATTTTTTTAGGTTTAAATATATTTTTAATTTTTTAAATTTAAGATAAATTTATTTTTAGTCCTTTAAATTTAAAATTAATTTTTTTAATTTCTAATTTTAAATTTTTTTGTTCTAGTCTTATATTCAATTTTTTTAGAAAATCTGTTAAATCTAACTACTAGTCTCTATTAATAAAAATATAACATTAAATAAAGTTGATGCTGCATAATTATTTCAATTTATTACTTTCATGTGTAATTAGTGGCTTAGGAAAGTAAAACAATTTTTTTTTATAAAAATTATAAATACTAAAAAAATTATTTTAAATTTGAGGGATTAAAAATAAATTTTTTAAATTAAAGAAATTAAAAATACTCTTACATTAGACATCGTTTATTATGGTTCAAATATGTAAAATAACTTTTTTTCCCAGCTGGAGAGATGCACGGCAAAGTTTCCAAAATTATACAGATCAAATAATGATTTCCAAAATTATAATGAAAAATAACTTGTATTCTTTTTGGGTTACACCAACTATTCTTGTATATGTGGAAGGTACGTGACACCCATCTACTCCCAAGTTTGATACTAATTAAATTCATAAAATCTCAATTACATCTTCATACAAATTTATAAATAGAATGATCCAGGTCATATGAAAAATTAGTAAATAGAGTAGTAGTAAATAATTTGTAAATTCAAAATACTGAAATAACAAGGAAGTAATATAATTCCTAAACTACTTCAAATCCCCAGTGCCACATTAGCATTAGAGTCCACACATACCTAGATCTCTCCTTGCTCCTCCCAAGATTGAGTATTTTCAGCTGCAAAACATACAAGAGACACGCCAAAAACAAACAAGGAGTGTGAACAATCTCATTCTATAGGAAATTGGCTGTAACCCTTGGCATCTCATCCCTTCACGATAAACAATATATTAATAACAATTAATACTTCAAAATATAATACAACAATTCATACTTCAACTATAATATCAACAATTCAAACTTCAATTCCACTTATAAACACCAACCATTCCACTCGCAAGCACATATGCAGAAATGCAATGCGATGTGCATCTACACCTAAATGCATGAGGTACCTGGTCATCATCATTAAGAATATACAGTTGGTACTTAAGACTCGAGTTAATCTTAGGCTACCAATACAAAAGTGTTCCCACCAAAACACTAACAGGTTCCCACCAGAACCACAAAATCATGCGGATATGATGCAAGTCACAATCATGTAAATACTTCTATACAATTTCATCATTATCATCATATCATTCATCATTCTTTAACATCTATACTCATCCACATCAATTATCATCCATCAAGATAGAAATCATCATTCATCAGGCACATTTATACTCATCCACATCAATTATCCTCCATCAAGATAGAAATCATTCATCAGGCACATCAATACTCATCCACATCAATTATCATTCATCAAGATAGAAATCATCATTCATTAGGCACATCTTTACTCATCCACATCAATTATCATCTACCAAGATAGTAATCATCATTCACCAGGCACACACACACACACACATATATATACACACACATATATACACACACACATATATATACACACACACACACATACACACATTCATCATCATATAATCAATCATAAATATCATAATAACATCATTTAAAACATTAAAGAGAGCCTCCTGACAATCCACGCCAAGCTTAGGAACCCACACCCAGCTTTAAGCCAAGGCAAAGAACACCCAACCTCTCTCACGCCTGACTTTAAGCCAATGCAGAGAGCAACCAAAACCTTTTGCGCCTGGCATGGACATTTCCATGCTTGGCGCCATCACATCTAGGTAGTGCCTTCATACACATGAAGGCACACTCAACATTGAGCACCTAAGCCCGACATCGCGTGTGTTCCAACCCCCAAACATATCAATTATAGAACAAAATCTTGAAGCAAACATCACCCAAATCAATCATACAAATTATAAATACTTAGAGCTTGTTTTACATATAGGAAACTCACCAATTTCAGCATCTACAACTCTTATCCCTTAAATTCATCAAATTTCTCTCGTTAGGGTCCTAACTCCCTTCTACAGAGCACTCAATTAACTACTCTAAAAACATTTGATCATTAAATAAAATATATATTCAAAATTTACTCGTTAAATCACATCAAACACACATAACAATTCATCAAATGGAAAACTTATGGAATTGGGGCCAATCCTTCTAGGGTTCTAACCCCTTTCTATCGAGCACTCAATTAATTACTCTAAAAACATTTGATCATCAAATAAATTATATATTTGGAATCTACCCGACAAATTACATCAAACATACACAACATCTCATCAAACAGAAAATTTATGGGATTGGAGGCCAATTCCTCTACCCTTCATGCATACACCCAATCCCTAGAAATGAGTGTTCTCACTCCTCCTTACCTGGAGTAGGTATCAGATCTACGCCTCTAACTCCTCTTCGATGATTCCTTCTCCTTACTCTCCAGATGCGTTCTCTTTAGAGCATCGAACGTTAGAGAACGTGAAAATAGAGGCGTAGGAAGGTTTGATCAGAAAATTATTCTTTTAAAAACCTCCCCTTAACCCCTCTTGATGGAAGAGCATGGGCCAAGGGTCCAACCACTAGAGCTATGGCCAGGAGACTACTTGAAGACTTGTCAGCTTCAGAGCTTAGTGGGCCCAATGGGCTTGGTGGGCCTAGGGTGCTTCTCACTTGGGCTTTACTTGAGTAAACACCATGTTTTATTGTATTTTCATAGAATAGGAAGTTACTTTGTTTTTGGTCTTGTATTATGACCATAGATTAGGGTTAATGAATTTTGGGCTTGTAATTGGGCTTCTTGGGCTTTGGGCTTTTGATACCCAATATTGGGCTCATTCTCTTTCTTGTAATTTTTCCTATTCATTGTATTACTTGGACCATTGTATTTAGGTCATTAGTCTAGGAATTAGGAGGAAAACTTGTTAAATAGGATTAGGTTAAACTAGGTTTAATTTAGCTTGCATTTAAGTTACATTTGGAATCACATGGATGGCGCCACCTTGGCTGAACATGTGTGACCCAAATGCAACCCTAAATTCAAGTTAAATCAAATCTTAATTCACTTAGCAACTATGTGAACCGGTAACATACATGTGGTGAGAGATTTGAATTCAAATTTTCAAATTTGAATTCAAATCTTGGCGCCACATGTGAAGCCTTCACATTGGCGCCAAGTAGCTTTCATTTCCGGTCCTATTTAAGCTTCCCTCCAAGCCATTGTACACACTTTTGATATATGAAAGTTGAGAGCACATTTTCTGCCAAATTTCTTCAAGAGTCACCGTGAGAGAGAGCCTTCACTTTTAGGAACCCTAGCTAGGTTTTCCT